CATAGCAACCTTCACTGCTGAAGGACTTTCAGGCTTGCTACACAAAAGAAACAACAGAAACACTTTCAAAAGAAATGAGCTTGTGTTTGAAATTAAGGGCTTTCCCCACCCAGAAAAGCAAATGTTAAAGTAAACAGTGATGCTCTGGTCAGTGAAATATGGACATGAAGAGACCCACACAGACCAAACCAGAGCAGTGGGTCTCTGACTCCATGTGCAAGTACAACCTAGAGCAAGAGCACCCTCATCCCTCATCAAACACGGTAAGCAACTACTGTAATACAAATAAATCATCTGTGGGCAAACATTTGCATCTTCAAATCAAGCTAAGTAACTGAATTGATTTCAGAAAATATTTTGCATTTTATCTATCATAAAAGCAACGCTGATCCTTGTTGCACAAAACTCATTGCATTTGCATGTAGCACCTATCTTACATGCATCAGATACAGTAAACCAGTAATTGCAAAAATTTGGGAATGACAGGCAGAAGAAAAAGCAAACTGGAGGAAAAAAAAAAAAGAGCAAGTAAAGGAATAAGTAAAAATGACAAGGAAAAAACAAATTTAGGGGAATGATGTCTCTAAATTTCTTCTGCTTGAGAGAAAATTATCCAGCAAACAGTGGGTGCCTAGACACACACTACCAGTGATACATCACATTTTGAGCTGGTCACTGTCACAGCTCAGTCTTATACAAGACCGTGTAACTTGGTCCAGATCCAGCAAAGCACTTGAACTAATGTTAAATTTTCAGCTTGCAAGCAGTTCCACTGAAGTCAAACTTCTTGTGCTGCTAAGAGGAGAGCATTTGCTTAAACTCTTTGTTGGATAATTACCAAGGAGTAATATTGCTAAGTTCAAATTCCTAGAGATCCTGACTCAGGTCTCAAAAATATTTTTAAACATTGGTTTAAAGTCCTTGCCCTAAATTAAGAAAGAATTAGTTTGGCTTTGGTTTCTTACAGTCATTAAATGATCAGCAAAATCCTTACTCAAATCACTTGTCTCACATTTTCAGTTATTTTTTCACAGTCAAGAGGGCTTGAAACTTTTCAAAAAGTGAATAAAGACATTACTGTGCAGCCAGTTTTGTCCCCAGGAGCTAGTCTTAAAAAAACTAAACAAAAAAAAAAAGGTAAATCCATCCTAAGACTCATAAAAGCACGAGAATTGTTGAATTTGAAAGTACTCTGCACCTTGCTCATCCAAACCTTCAGGACAGCTGTCTCATTTCCACTCTGCCATGATGACTTCAGTGACCCAAATGGACCAGGACTACTGTCCTCCTGTTCTGGGAGACTCTCCTGCAACAGGGCAAGAGCAACTTGAGAACTATGCTCAACGCAGACTGCAGCAAAGAAATGTTATCTTGATCTGGGTGAAGGAAATCTGCTTTCCTTTCCCTATATCCCTCATCCTTACTTTTGCCCCCACATTCTGCAGTCTCTGCATTTCATCTCACTTCAAACATAACCACCTCGCTCTGCTACAAGCAGTTGCTTAAGCAGCCCTGGGAGCAGACCAGGCTTCTGCTGGCTATCACCAGTAGAGCTGAATGGGAGGAAATGAACTTCAGCTGGTGAAACAGCTTCTGCTATAAACTTATGGGAACCAGTTCCCGAGATTCCCCTATCTGATTTTAAAGCTCTTTCATAAAGATATCTATCTAACATTTTTAAACAGATCTTTTCATTCATCCCTGAATTGAGAAGAAAATCAATCCGATAAAAAATACCCAGGCTACATGCCAAAGCAGAAGTAGTAACTCATTGGCCTTGAAATACAGTTCTCTTACTGGAAACATTAACAAAGACGAGGACCGTGTGTCATTGCAAAAAAAAAAAAAAAAAAAAAAAGCCAGTTTTTAACAGGCACTCTTCAGAACAGGCTCCAGGTTTCATCCTCAATTATCAGTTCATAAATTAGAATTTCTTAGCTGCTAGCAGATGGGTGAAAGTCACTAAACAAGGACCTCATAAAATTAATGAGATTTAGAAAATTAACAACAATCTGAACTAATTTCTTTCCACAGTACACTGGATTTTCCAGAGCCATTCCCATTTAGCAAAGGGCCAGTAGAAAACTAAAACCCAGGAACAGCCAAAAAAGAAATTCCCTTTCAACTGCCAAGATGGATTAGCTGCAAATAAACTTGGATGTATTTTCCTTACGGATTATATTAAATAGCTGATAAGGATATCCTGCACTTATATATAGCTTTTCGAAGTTCCAAGCATTCAATAGTAACACAAGCCTTAGGAGGGCTGGGGAGGGACTGTGAATTTACAACTAAAGTGGCTCAACCACATTCCCCATCAAAGGAATCAGAGCTCCTTCAGGAACCACCAGGAAAAGCCAATATCCAAACTCACCGACCGAGCGAGCCTTGCTCTCCCACAGAAAAGTGTAACACACGAGTACCTCGATGCCTCACTGCCAGAACATTCCTCCTTTGATTTCTATCCGACAGCAAATGGCAAAGCCCACCTCAGCACCCCCACAACTTAAGCTCCTATGTGAAATGCGCAGGAGTAAACATTTAAAAAAAAAAAAAAAATCAGTAACTAAAGACAGGGTCATAAGTCCTTATTTTGACACCTCCCTACATGCAGTTTACGATCAAGAGAATTCTTCCCCCATTTTCTAACTGAAAAAAGATGACTTAATTCCATTTCATCCTAAAATAATTAGGAAATTAACTCTGCAAGACAGAATGAAACAAAAACAAATTGACAAAAAGCAAGTTTACCGTCTTATTACCCACTCATGCATACACACTGACAGTCTTTTCTTCATAATGATTCACCATAATACATTTTTTTCACATAACATAGCATGAAAAGGATGTCTGCTTTTAACATCCTGAGCATATATGAAACACCATCTATCTTTTGCCTCCTTTTCTGTCCTTTACCTTCTTTTTAGTAAACTAATCAATCTTCCAGTCTGTCCTTACAAGACGTTTCCTGTTACCTGCTGCCCCTTTTCAAATTACAACCACAACGATTCTGACTTTATGGCTGAGAAAGTCTGGGGGAACTGCTTTTAGGGAGAAGGAATAACATTTTATTTCTATCATTTGCAAAAACCTCAGTTGCAAGCATTTGGTAGAACACAACCAAATAATCACTTTTTGGACAGAATTCAAACATCAGCAAGCTTGATTCAGAAATACAGATTTCTAAAGATGTTGGAGTAAGTGGCAGCAGCCTGCTGGGAGGGAAGCAGCCACGTTACATCAGCTATAGCAGACATCGCCACCGCTGCAACGGCAGCGTTGCTTTAATGGGCATTAAATTGACAGGCTGCAGACACCTAAAACCAAAGTTCAAGCACCTGGGCTGGGCTGGTGTGGGCTGTGCCCTCAGGCCATCTGTGTTTATCAACGAGAGATTGTCAAAGACGGGAATTAATAAAGGAAAGCTGCTGCTGTAGTCGACTGACCGCGCTCTGGTCTGGGTAACAGAGTCTTCATTTACCTGTTCCCCGACAATTCCCTCTAACTGGCACACGGAAAACATGCTGGTTTAGAGGAGAAGTGGATAGCTTCTCTTTGGGTTTGTGTGCCTGGGAAGCATCCCCATACTAGAGTTCATACCCAAGCCAAAACATATCTACATTGTAGCTGATCAAATCAAAACTCAACCGGAGACCAAATGTTACCTGCATCAAGGACCACCAGGATGTCAGGTCACAGAAAATGATTTGCCGAAACTTTTCAGGACAGAAGCTAAAGTCTCAGAATACAAATGGATGTGCAAAATCCTACTAAAACCGTAAGTCAAATAAACTAAACAGTTTAGTTTTCCTGAACTGCACCCTGCATTCAATACCAAGAGAACTGGTCAAAACATTGACACATTTTAAAAGAATATAGATTTTTGACCGAACAAAAAACCTCTTTTTATTTTTTTTTATTTTTAATGTAATGAAATGTCTTCTGATATTGTCAAAAATATGATGTTTTTCACCCACTGCTTACTACCCCATTGCCACAATTGAGCAATTTCATGCTTATGACAGCGGTCAGTTGCCATTACAATAATTGCAGCACTGTAGAATGACCACTTTTCCATGTTAGGGACTAGAAGGTGAACCACAAATTTAGATGGCAAATACTTCACCTCATCACCGGAACATGGGGAAACAAGACCAAAGTGTGACAACTGAAGTTCATTAGCTGCTTTAGTGACGATGTATGAGACCAAGAAGAATTTGTTGCCGTTTCCCATCAGGGAACATGTTCTCTTCGACAAGAATTAGCAAAATCACTGCTTTTTCCCCCCACAAATTTAGCAGACAGCCATACAAAGCCAGAGAGCTTTAACATACAGCTCTTTACCAATATGAACTGTACTTTTCCTTTGTGCATTAATTACCAAGGGCAATACATATATCAGCACAGGAGACAGAAGACAGCTCTGCCTCCTCATTGCAATGGTTTTCACTTCGACCTTCCCAACCTGCCAGCTCCTCATTTCTCTAGGAGAAAACCTGTGATGCTTCCATGGAGCTCAGCAAGCCAGGGACATGCTGTCTTCCTAACAGCTCTCACAAACCCAACTTCATTGACTTCAATAAAGCCAAAGTGATTTTCATCTGCTGAGAAACTGGTCTGACCTGTATAGGACAAGCTCCTGTGCACAATAAAAGCCCAAAGGCTGAAACACTTTGAAATCCAAGCACCTAGGCATAGATAAGAGGCAAATTTCCAGCTCCTTTCAAATTTGCAACAAATTTCCACAGATTCCAGCATGGCAGGAACTTCCCTGGTGGCAGACTAGTTCATTGGCACCATTGCAGCTACACTGATTTATTCCAGCACAGGTCTTGTCCTTAAACCTAGGTGGTTGCGGAGCATATAGTCATGACCTAATCCATTACCCTGGCATGCAGAAATGGAAGAAATGAAAGCAGCACAAATGAAGATTTTATCACTTACATTAAATTGAGGGCTGTCATTCTTTATGCTTGTTTCAGTTATCATTCATTTCTTACCTCACAGACACAAGCAAGCTATTGTTCAACTTCAATTCTCTCAGATTAGGTAGATAGGCACCTATGGGAACAGAATAAAGAATCACTCTGCAGACCTGGCAGTAGAGTTAAAGGAAGCTTCTGACAATTACAAGTTGAAGCATCTAATTTTACATGCATTTATTACCTGTTTCTGCCAGATCCGTGCTGGACCTCTTCTAAGGAAATTAATGAGATTATTTCATGCCAAAAACATTTCACCCTTTGCATTTTTGCAAGACATATGTACTGCCTGCGTGACTACCCAATTATAATTTTTGGAACCCCTCTCTGACAATTCTGACAGAGCACCCTTCCAGACAGACCACAACAGAAACTGGCTTGATGGGTGACTGTTTCCTCTGATCTGATTCCCAGCCCTTAGTGATTATTAACTGAGCAATACTCTGAAGAGGTATGGGGTGCTTTAGAGTACAACACTTCATGACCTCCAATTTCTACATAACACTTTTGCTTCTCTCCCCCAAAATCTTCTTCTACCTCTTTAATGGCAAGTAGTGATGGACTTACTGGATACACAGCTAAGTAATGCTTCTTCAATACACGGGAAAATAAGATCTAAGTGTGACAACTGAAGTTCAATAACTGCTTCAGTGATGATGCATGAGATCAAGAAGAATTTATTGTCATTTCCATGTAACAGAAGCCTAATTTCCCATGTCACAACATCATCTTTTATAGTTCAGAGGTCCCCAAAACGCTACTTACGCTTTGCTAAGCATTGCCTTCTCCTTTTCATTTTCTGGATGTGACCTATTGTTTACTATTAAATTGTACAAGTTTCATATCTATGAAAACCTCAGTATCCTGTTGTTACTACTCCGATTCATACTTTTTTCTATTCCCAAGAGATATTTGCTTTTTTGGTTGCTTCTTCAGCTATTTCTGAATCAAAATCATAGACCAAATCCCTCCAAGGTACGGAATCATTTGGATACAAGCTCAAGTCCCAGAAAACGTTTGCTATTGAGAACAGCAAGTTTTTACCCATTCCCACTAGCAGAGTTTACCCCTGGCTGGCGAGCATCCTCCAGTACAACACGCAACCATGTCGAGGTAATACCAGTTTTAGACAAACTGGATCATGGCTAAAACATTAAAATCTGCTCTCAGTAAATATTTTTATGAGTCCTCTGAGGAATCTCTCTCTGGCAAGGGTGATCTAGCAGCGTCCAGAAGGACATCATTCCAGCTCTTTGCAAAGGATCAGAAGAAAAAAACCAAACAAACAAAAGAAAGGAAAAAAAAAAAAGAAAAAAGGAGTGGGATCTTAAAGGCAAACAAAGGAGGTCATGTGTTTCATTCCATCTCCCCAAACAGAACAAGAGCGTTTATGACAAAAACATTTTAATAAATCATGTTTTACTAGGAGCATTATCTATATCTAATGCTATTTGGAGGTGATTATAATACCCATATTAATCTTCATGCTATACTGCAAATATTTAACTTCATGTCTTTGCAAAGCTCTTTAGAAAATATTAAAAATTCAAAACACATCATGCAATTTTTTAGCCTTACTTTTTAATAATTTTCCTTAATCCATTAAAATCATAGCACAAATTATAACACACCATCCTCATCCTGCAGGGTATACTTCCTCATGTCAAACAAGTTTTAGAAAGCATGGCAACAAAAAAATTTGGAGTCCTGACGGCGGAGATACTAGGCTCTCTGTTAATTATTCCCAGCAGTCATACTAACTACTGAGCAAAGACTGCCTCAGATACAATCCACACACCAAGAAAACCTCCACGGAAAAAAAAAATCAAAATCTAGATTTTAAAAAATTGCTGTTGTGTTTCTGATAAGAAACCTGAAGCACAGAGAGGCGAAATGACCTCCCCCAAAGCGTTGAAGGAAGAACAAGGTGGCTGCAGCACCTCTCCAGTCCCGGCACAGTAGCCTTGCTGCGGATCCAAGCAGCGAGGTTCAAGGTTACCAAGCAGAGGCTATTGTGAAGCATTTACAAAGCAAATGGGTTTTAAAAACCAGTATTAAGCAGAAGATTCGAATGAGGAGTCAAGAGGACTAGCCCAAGAGAAACAGGAGACTTGCTCCAGCAAAAGCTTTACACTGCATGCATTTAGGGTTCGTGGAGGAAAAGAACAACTATTAAAGGATCCAGCGAGGCAGAGTGACAGGCTGACGATACGATTTTCACATCTGGTTATTTCATTATTGTAACCCGACCCTCCATCTCAGACATTTTATTGTATTTTGGCACAATCTGCCCCTGGAAACTTGTAGAGTGTTAAGCTCCAATGTGCTGTTTACCAGACTGAAATAAAAGTATACTATGTGCAGTGGTGGGAAATTCTGCCAGTAAGACTTCTGCAGCTTACTTTTCCAATTCTGAAGGTTCTTCCCTCCTTTCAGTTTTATATTCTACATGTAATTTTTCTTTAGAGCTCAGAATTCACTGTCCATTTGATTTTCCTGGTTTTTATAGCTCCAATTCCTTATATATAGATTAGAGACTGGAAGAGTAAATTAAGAAGAGAAAATCGTAAAATGAAGACGACAGACTAAGACATCTATCCACGTGTAACCCTCACGGCATCTTTCCTGAGAGCAAGGATGCAATTTATTCTTATACTAACGTAAAAATACTCTAAATTATCAATGATATTGAGTTCTAATATTGATTTTAAAAGTACAAACAATATAATCCTCATCCTAAAACTGCCTTCATACTGTATAATTTTCATTTTTAAAAAATGAGAATGGTCCAAAATATGGCTGATGAATGACCGCAGTACAAGGCTGACAATTCAGAACGGCAAGCAATGTTACCCCATCTGTCTACGATTCCCTTTCACTAAATACCCTTTTTGTTATATGGCTCTGAAATTAGTACCACCAACAATGTACTAGTGTTAAACTGTTCTACTGTACTGTCCCAGTGGAACAAAACTAAATGAAGAGCAGAAGGAAACCAAAGTGTGAGGTAGGTGAATAAAAGGGATACATGCACACTCAATAGCATTGCCTGAAGTGCTGCAAGTCACAAGCAGGGTAGCAATGCAGGTGTCTTTCTGAGCTGCCTTGGTACAGCAGGTGACACTTAGGTAACTGACTAGGAATAAGGAGAAAGCAGGCAAGATGCTGGTTTTATTATATTCTACTAGCTACACCACTTGTATTTAGAGTATATGTTTATATTATGATGTATGCTTTAGGTAGCATCATATATCTTGTTTTCTATTGTTAATAAACATCATCCTGGCCTGACTTCTTACGCTTTCTGGAATATGGACTAGTGAAAAACATACACAAATGAAATTACTGACAAATACTTGCAGTGGCATCAGGCAACCTATGTGTTGTGTTGATCCTACAGTACAAAGCAGGCATGTGAACACAGGCTGCACTCTTCTAGCAAGAGCAACCCAATATGTAAATTAAACAGGCTATTTAATTTACATTAATTAAGCAGACCTAAGCTGTCTTTGATCAAGTATGATACGTCACCTTGAAGTTATTTCTATGTATCTTCTAAATGTGCGGTGTTTTTGCAGATTTCTGGGGCGAATTGGGCAACACAACTGGTGATAAGACCACAGCACTTGCAGGCAAACCCAAGCTAGCTGCAGCCTAGCTACCCAAGACGAGAATCTCACAAAAACCCACGTCAGCGCAGGGTTTAACATAAGCCTGTTGCCTCAGTACATCCTCGCAACTCCTGGAGAGCCTGCCTGAGCCCTGCTGCGGCGGGTGCTGCAGCACCTTCTCAGCGAGGCTTGGCAGTACCAGCTAAACCAAGCCAAGCGTGGGCTGGGAGGCACAGGCCGGCCTCACGCCTCCAGCCTCCGCCCCGGCTTCCTGACCTGCTGCTGTGACACTGGCTGCCGACAAACATCTTCTGGCTTTGCATCAGGAATAGCGACAAATACGGCGAGAAGAAAGAAAGAGAGAGGATGACCCTGTGTGAAAAATAACGCGTGCCTCCTTCTGAACCCTCCGCAGAGCTTTTCCCTGACAAAACGTGTGTGAAGGAAGTGGCAGTCTCCAGACACGTAATCAACTTAGCCTGGCCACCAGCAGGCAACAATTCAATAAGTACCAGCGAACAGCACTGTGGGTAACTTGATTTGTAGCTATTAAAATCACTTAGAAAGAAGAGAACTATGTAGTGTCTTAAATGACTCTATCCCACCATTACTTTCAACAGAAATTTCTACAAGCTGGTCACGAATGCGGTCCCAGATCTGTCAGCAATCAAAACCAAAGGGATAAGCTAATGAAAAGGAAATAGTCCATCTGTTTGAGTATGATCTGAAGCCTACATACAGCTGAAGAGCACAGAAGTCAAGTCCAAGATCTGCAAAGTTGGATACAGGACTTGCCAGGGCAGTTCAGTGTTTCGCCTGTCACTCAGCAAGGTGCACTGAGAACAAACAGCTAGAGATTTCAGCAATTACCCCAAGCCCTGCTAAGACTCAGATTCAAGCTCTGGCATGAAGCCTTTCCTTAATTTTAAAACAGATCACCTGAAAACATTTTAATACCACTCTTTTTGGTTTTTGGCCCCTGTCCCTAAGAAATGCAACTGTTCCTCCCCACCATGCCACATCATTGCGTAGAGGCTCTCCTGACAAACTGGGAAAGGATAGCAGGATGGTGCTTTAAAGTTTAGCGCATCCCAAAGTGGAATGTTCCTAAGAAAAACTCAAGCAATATGTTTTAAATCACTCTGGAAATCTTGCTGAAGATGTAGGCCCTCAGTGCTTGTGTGTCTGCGTATGGCTGCAAACATTGAAACATTTCTCAAGTGGAAATTGTGGTGTAAATTTGGGATTTGAGAGCTGCAAGGTTCCAGGTGACCCAGAGTTACGTGCCATCTAGTAACTTGCAACTCTCTCACCTGTCCATGTAAGAGCTTGCACAGCCTATGTTACCTTTACACATAAAACCAGGTAAAACAATATTGTTTACTGAGTATGAACTGATCATCCAAATAAATAAGTCCTTGATAATGAAGATGCTCTCATCCACCTCCTGCAACTGAGGAATACAGTGAGAGCAAGGTTAAGTGATTTAGTATGGCTATAAAGAAAGCTAATTAGCCAGGTTTGGAACACAAGCAGAAACAGCAAATTGCAGAGCGGTCCAGGCTGGACAGGGCAGCCAGAGGTCTCGAGCCCAGCCTCCTGCTCAGAGCCAGGTCTTCTGTGAGATCAGTCCAGGGATGCTCAGGTCTTCACCCAGCTGGGTCTTGAAAACCTCCAAGGATGGAGACGGCGAACCTCTCTGGATACCCCTATTTCCTGACTGTCGTAACGGTGGAGAAGCTTTTCCTGTTGCCACACTGGAACTTCTGACATTCCAGCAGGTCTGGTTCTTACCCTATGCCTTCCCTCAGGCTATTTATCCAGACCCCTGTGACCAGAGCTCAGACCAGCAGCGCACAGTTTCAGTGGCAGGCAGCCAGCAAGGAGCCTGCAATGAGCCCAACACCTCCAACAGCAGCCTTGCTTACACCATTCACATTGAAGGTGCAAACTGCCCTGTGACACCCCCAAAACTTTAGACCTTAATCCATGCAGCTAAAAACCACCTGTCATGAAAAAAATCCTGCAAGGAACTGATGATCACTGGAAGCATTAAGGTGCAAATCACCTGCTGACATTTGCAAAGGGATTTTCATGGGGAGGAAACTCAGAAATGCACTTCGAAAAAAAAAAAGACAGAAGGAAAGTCAGGATGGTCTTGATGTTCTGTTATTCTCAAAAGCAGTGGGGACCTGCAGCTGCTGGGTTTTATAGTCTCAAGGGCCAACTCTTGGTGCAAGGAGTGGGATATAAAGAAGATGGAAATTGTTTGCAACACGGGAATAGTTCTCTGTATTCTGCAGAAGTTGCAAAAGCCTAATCACGGGGAGCAGAAAGAAGAAGAGTTATTCCAGTAATGGAAAGGAAAGGGAAGTACAGAGTGAAAAAGGTTAAACATTTTGCTAGCTTGTCACAGCTAATGTAAAATGGCATAGGAATGGGAGCACCATTTTCGAGCATTGTAGAAATGGCATAATGAGATTTTTTCATCAACTGGAGAAAACATGACTGAATAGATTATGATCTCTGAAAAAAATGAATGTAATTTACCTTAAATTATCAAGTGCCTATCAGAAAGAGACCTATTTACGAAATAAACAGAAGAATCAATCCAAAGTGGCTATATAATTCAAGACAAAAGCTCCTTTACTGTACTTGCTTAACCATTCTTGACAAATCGACATCACAAGACCCACTAAAGCTAATCGGCTGTTACATTATAGTCCCTTGCACATGAAAATGAACTGCTTGGCTGAAAATACCAGCACCCACTTTTGAGGATGTTACTGCTTTTGGCACAGAAAATATTAACCTGCAGTAGTCACTCAGCTTCAACATGGCAGAAGGTGAACATGGTTGTGATGGGAATCCAAATGACAAAAAATGACTGCCAGTACTGGAAACAAGGAAGGGTTCGTATTCTCAGTGTTAACTCTGCTACAGAGGGAATTCCTCTGGTACCTCCTCACTTCCCCAGTGCAGTGATGATGACACAGAAACAAATCACAAGCATTAGGGCTGTTTGGGGCTCATCAAAATGCCATATCTATAGGACCTTCCTCAGCACATCATTCAGCACAGCTCGATGAGGCAGGAGAGGACACAAAGCCAGGCTGCTGGCAGCATGAGCAGCCCGACACCGCTAGTGACTCCTCAGTCACGGGGAAATCTAACAGTGGAGAGAAATTGAACCGGGGCTACTGTTTTGCTAGAGCAGCACCAAGTACTCCAGAGCACAAAGCAATCCGTGAATGCTCATTTAGGGGCTAGAGGCATGTCATTTAAGAGGAAATTGTTCAGATTAATTTGCCACAGACAGAAGTGGTGTCACTCATCCCACTGCTGTAGTTTTCAGTCCTATTTAGAACCTCACAGAAGAAAATGGAGATTGAGGAGTGAGAGGTACCAGGGAGATCATGTTTCAGGAGCTCATGAGCAGGACAGTACTTTATACTGGCTGTTGGTTTCTGAGTCCCCAGTCCTGCTTCAAGACATGATAAAGGAAAATCTGAGATGGCAAGCATGAGATAGTGTTTTCTTACCAAGGTTCCCCAAGCTGTTCTCTCTTGTATCTACTCGCATCTCTAGGGCCTTCACTTGCTGCAGATCATCTACCCCCGTCAAAACTTTCTGTAAAGATAAGCAGAGATATATGTGTACTCTTGTGCAATCAACCAGGTGACATGGGAGCAAAAAGGTGCAGAAAGGCTTTCAACCAACGCTCTGTCAACATACACTCCAGGTCAAAATGGCTAGATGTGTGATCGCATTGAAATAAATTTAGTATTGAGAGATCTTTCTTCCTTGTAGTTCCAAACTATTCTAGTCTCGCATCACTTCTTCATTGCTTGAAGAGTCAAGACTGAGGGTCACATTCAATCTGCAAATCAACAACAGATTTACATGACAAGCAACTTCATTTAAACAGTATGCCCATGCTTTAAGATTTGCATGTCTTGTACTAATCTTCAGCAGATAGGAAGAGTTACCCTTAAGTGTCACCTGTAATCAAAAAGGCACTAGGTAGTAAACTCGACAAAACACACTGTTTAGCCTTTTAACCCAAAACTCTGAAACGGAAACACGATTTTAGCTCAAGCAGCTCACTTTTCTGAAAGAAGACAACACTAATTACAAGAATCACAAATTCCTTTGAAAAGATCTAGGCAATGCAAATAGAAGCCTCCAAAATCTTTCATTATTTTTGCAAAATATTAGTAATAGGACCAACCACTGCATTAAGCAAGGGCGTATGTGAATGCAGGATCTTTCCTAATGTCCTAAAGACTGTGTTGATACGTACATGTAGGTACTGCCTCAGCAGAGGCAAGCAGGAGGACAGAAACAAGCAGAAGCTATACACAGAGGAGAGAGGGAAGTTCTAGGACAGCCAGTGAAAACTACAGCAAGGCTGTGAAGTCCTAAGACGCCAGGCTGCAATTCCACAAGCAGCTGAAGCAATCTCATGTTACCACTGCTCTCATCCCCTGTTTCTCCCTGCTGCGATCCAGCTCCTCTCTTCCCAGCTTCCTCCATCCGGGCTACATGTCCCATCACCTCCTTTGCATCAGCTTTGGGTGCTCAGTGAATCTTTCCATGCATAAATTCAACAAAACAGACCAGGAGGGAACTTCATCCTTTCTTCCTGATGGGTTAGTGGTTCATGGAGTTTCTCCTTGAGAGACAAGAAACAAGGTTTTGTGTCACAATTAACTGCCTGAAAGAGTTGATGCTATGCATGGTGATGCAACTGCTAAATATTCACCTTTCTGTGCCAAAAGAGTTATGATGTGGGGCTAAAAATGTCCACTTCAAGGAAACAACTGACCCTGGCATCAGTGTCTCCTCCTCAGTGATGCAATCAACAGCATGGGTTGAAAGAACTATTGTCACCTGCCTTTTACCCCTCTATTTCAGACGAAGGCAGGAAGTCACTCAACAACCTCCACAAACAGGATAGAAGTTTCCTTACTATTAAAAAGTTACAACATTCTTTAGTTTGTTTAATAAGGGGGAAATTATTCATTAGAAGGGAATGTGTAGGACCACCTCTGTTTATGAGTTTTGGGAAGAAAAAATAACCACAAGAACATGCGGTCCACTTTGCAGGGAAAAACGTGGTTGCGACATTCCCGCTCATGAAGTAAAATCTGTACTGCACACAAACGGCTGCCACTTCACTCACTCTGGTGGTTCCACATCCTCTTACAAACAAAGGACTAAACACAGTCCGAGTGTAACTGAGATGACAGTTTAAAAGGGCATGGTTTCCTGAAGAGGCTGAGCATCCCTCCTTGGAAATCTGGCTCCCTTCTAAGGTCTTGGCTTGGACTCCTAAGAAACACAACTATCCAAAATCTTCAATTGCTTTTAAACTGTCTTTAAAGCACTGTGTTTAAAATTATTTTTAATCTTACTTTTTTTAAACTGTGATTTCAAGCAGGCTGAACCTAAGAAAGCTTCCAGACTGTCTCGCCTTCCCACTAGAGTAAGAGAAACAAAGGCCTAAGGTAAAAATCTGGGAGTCCCCAATGGCATCCAGACATTTACTCTCTATCCCCAGCTGCAGCCACCACAAAAACATGTTTCCTCCTGCAAAGAAGGCAAGCTTACCAACTACAGACTGCTTTCTGCCCTCAAGTAAACACAAGATCCCTCACTGCAAGGCACACTTTGCAGTAACCCTTTCCAGGAGGTGATGCTGTCTGTCATACAGCACGAAATCACGTGAGAAACAAGAGCTAGCTGGTGTCCTGGCACACACCACGCACTCGGATTGCTGGATGACAAGCTTGTTGTCATTAAAGGAAGCTGCTTCTGAAAAATAGCTCTCCCCTCCCCATCAAAATAGTCTTAAGAGCCGACATCAGTAGAAGACAGAATAGGAAGAAGTCTCAGAACAAGTAAGAAGCTTGGGGTCATGCACTTTGTCAGCAGAGTAGCAGAAGGTCCTGGCACCACAAGGAGCCTTTCTCTTTTCTCCTTTGCTGTCTGCAAATTCCCTGCACGTTGTCCTTCCCCTGCTATATTCTAGACAGCCTCCCTTCACACTTCTGCTCCTTGTTCTCTTTCAAAATCCAAGCATAAAAGCTGCATAAAGTTATAGTCTCTCCTCTTCTGGGGTTCCCTATCTGTTTTCCTCATACCAGGGATTACCGGTGTGCTGCTTTACCCTCGTTTTTCTCTTCCAGACCCACCACTTGTACTTCTTCCCCTGTCTGAGAGCTGAGCTCCTTAGCACATCCGTATTTCATACTACGACAGGCAGAGCTGTGGCTCCAGTGCTGGAAAGGGTTATTGGCTGCCACCACCAGCTCTCTGAGCTATAGATAGCTGCCTTGAAGCGTGTACTAACCAGATGCGACAGACTCCGTGTGCTCTCGGTCCCCACTTGCCTGTTCTGCTTTTCCAAGAGTCTCTGTGAAAATCGCTGTCCTTCCATCTGCTGATACCGAGGAGATGCTTGGAGAGTTTGGAACTGATTGGCAGTGGGACGCAAAAGCTAGGAAATGAGAAATGCTCTCAGGTTGAGAATATGAGCTCATTTAAAGGCACTTGAAGCACAGGGACCCCAGGTGTTGACTGCAAGCTAGTTAGCAAGCAAACGGCCAGGGCAGCAGTTCAAGAGAAGGCTGTGTGATGAACAGTTCCTGTGGAAGATAGTTAGGACACTCCTACTCCCCAGACACCTTTCTTGGCATACTGGTGCAGCTGGAAGTGTGTTACGTCTCATGTGTCACAGCTAAAATTCTGGCACTGGGAATGGGGGAGATTTAGGGAAGGATGTGGAAACATTCAAACAAAGATGACACATATTTAGCAGGATCTCCCTTTTATGTTGTTGATTAATGTCAAAGCAGAGGAACTTTCATCAAAATTTGAAAGGAAGGATATTTAGGAAGAATTTTGCTGCTATTGAGTGGCAAAAGAAAAAAAATAATCACAGCCAAACACACTGAAGGGATCATCAGCTTGGGCAGAGAGATGTCTGGCACCACGCAGGTAGGTAGAAGTGATGCTAAGGCACTCTGCATCTCTTCATTCCTAGGGCCGTGCCAGGTCTAGGACAGGCTCCTGCCCTAATTCAGAGGTGTCCCACCGTGCCTGCCAGCCCACAGCTCAAGGGGCTGTTTTGACAGCCAGTGCCCCAAGGTCTCTCTGCTGGTGCCCCAGGAATGCTCACAGACGTGAAGGTGCTGTGGCATCTAGGGATTTCTTTGGCTGTTTACAGCTATACTCAACATAGAGCAGACAAAAAGGGACCAATGATCTGTTCTAGGCAGAGATGGATACACTCAGTTATTTTACATCAAAAAGATACCTTGAAAAAACTAACTATCATTCCAGGCTGATTGTTGGTGTTCAGAGGGGATTTTCCTTGCCACCCATCTATGGCCCAGCGAGGTAGGTACCAGTTAGACAGAGAAGGAGGATGTTTTCTGAAGAATCAAACATCAAAGTCTTTCTGACACACACTGTTCAAGAGGTGGCCTGACAGCTGGATTCCAGGCAGCAAGCATTATACTCCACCCTAAATTTGTTCATTTGAAAGGATAAATTTCCACGGTAAAGCACTGCACAATTCTTTGAAGATGATTACACGCTAAGTAGAACAAAGACAGATAAAGTACACTTTACGTTTTTGCACCTCCTTCAAAATGGGAGTAAAACTATTTTCCATGAGATCATGCAGAAGCTATTGGTAAATAATTAGCCAGTATTTTAAGAAGCAGCTCCATGATGGCTGGCAAACCATTCCCATCATGCAAAATGTCTGGCCAATATCTAACTGGAGAGCGTGCACTTGTTTGGAAAGCTTTTCCTCTGACTGACAAGAAGAGCCAATAAGTATTCTGTAAAAAATTGCAAGTGAAAAATACTTCTGTGCTTGCAGAGCTTCCCAACTGGCAGAACAGTCACCTGGGGATGCTGGGAAATCCAGCTCAAGTCCCACTTGCAACTCTCTGTAAATTCCTTAATTGACAAATATCTGTTCAATTAAAGCTGGTGTATACAACTGGTTTCTTCTCTCTCCCCCAGATTTTTCACATACTCTGTGAAAAACAGATATGTTGCTGAAGAGCATGTTGCGTGCAGCTGTCAGAGAAGCATTTCCAGCTGTGCGTTTATTTTGCTGATCCTGGTTAATTTGGCTAAGACAGGAATTCCTGAGTGGTGAGCTTATTTTCTTTTAATACTACACCTGTATGCAAATACTAGATTCATGTTCATTCATGTGTTCATTGCTTTTTGCAGGGATTTTATTTCAAATTCCCAACTCAAGTATAGTCTCTCCCTGCACAACAAAAAAATTTAATGTAGCTATGAGTATGACAAAATATTTCTTCTAAGAGGAAAATTACTAGAACATTAACAAGGTTTTAAGTGATTCTAAGTCAAGGGATTTTCGATGAGAGAGAACAGAACTGTCCTGTGGTCCCCCATGCAATCTTCCTTTCAAACTGGCTAAATCCTGCAGACACCCGTAATTACAATATTTAGCTGTCTTTCACTACTTTCTACATATACATACAAATACATTCTTCTCTCAGCTCAGATGAAGAGATTGGCCAGGCGTTCAATCTGTGATAAAGAGATTATCTTCTTGGCTTGTATGAAAAGTGTAGATGAGGGCAATCATTACAAACTGTAAGTGGTGGTGGACACCTTAATAAAGATGTCTTTATTCTCATTGCTGAAGCCTCCAAGTCACGCCAACAGATCTCTGTGGACAGGCCCCTGACTAGTCTTGCCATCTCCAGCTCAGCTCCCCACTGACTCACACTGGGGATCCACAGTACCGACACCTTCTTTTTTTGAACCAGTATTAAAGGTCTGATGCTGTAATTTGCTGGGAGATCTCCTAACTACTGCAAATGTCAAAGGGCACATGGGGGCACCAGAAACTATATGGGAAGTTTGCTGGTCTCCCAGAAATAGCCTGTGTCAGTCCTGCAGGAGGAAACAAGCTCGTTTTAACTATGCGCTGCACTAACATGCAGGTCAGGAGTGGACAGGGTAGCATATAGTCTTACACTGACTTTTGCTTTAAATTTGTTTTAAGGATTTACTTTCCCTCACGTAGATATAAAAAAAGTCACCCCCCAATATTAATTATTTTTTCTAACTAGCCATTAGGTGCATAATAAGTAGCAACAATCATTGCTCAATGTTGTGTCACTGAACACACAAAACTCAAGACCGTAATCTGCCATTTCGTGTTTGTTAAGCAGCTGCAACTGCATGCAAATTAAAATCTGTTTTTTTCATAGAAAGGCATGCACATGTGCGTGTATGCATATAAATATAAAGATTCCTCATGTGATTTGAATGTAAACCATCAGATGCCTAAGAAGCAGGATGAACACTAATATAACAACTATAAGCCTTCACTGTAGTAAAGGCATTAGTGTCAGGAGAAGAACATATAAAAGGAAAGCTCTGAAACTAAATGAGGTTTTGTAATGTTTTCCCTGTTTGCAGTATTATGTTTACTACCATCTGCTACCTTGAGCAATCTGATCTAACTTTGAAACCAGATGTACTTTGAGCAGAAGATCAAACTGGAAGACCTCCAGAGGTCCCTTCAAACCTTTTTCTAATTATTATTTTTCAAATGATTATACAACTCTAATGAAGGATTTAGCAGATCCAAACTCAGTCAGTTGCTTCCATCTCCTTGACTCCACTTAAATTACCAAGATTTTGCACTTGCTTCCTTGATCTCAACTTTTTTTCTCAAATCCATTTAGCTTACAACTGAGAGGAAAACTTTCTGCAAATGAAAAAAGGAAATGATTGAGTCATTTCAGCAAGAATCCAATCTGTTGTTCCAGGACCCTCCAGGATTTTCTTCTCCCCATGAGGAGAAGTGCATACCATATGAAATACACCCTAACCTCCTGAGCAACAAAACTAAACACCACTTCTGAACATGTGTTCCTAAGTTTAGAAAACATGATTAACTGGAGCAGGATCAATAAATAGCAAAGCAAGAAGACTATTTCCTTTCTTCTCCAAAGATCACACAGAAACACCATTAGTTTTGATAACGTGACAGTATCTGGAGGATTATTTGACCTTGTAAAATGCATTTATTCTGAGAAGTGCAGTGCTTTTTGCAGAAGTCAGGAAACGATCCTTTGCAAATGGTGGGGAGAGGAGAGAACAAATTAAAAATCTGACTCAAGACAGGTGGAGCCCTTATTTTCAGTTCCTCCACACAGTGAAAAATCCGTGCCACAGCCCTAACAAAGTTACAAAATAATTGCAATGCATCGCCCATCAATAGCCAGTTTTCAGAACAAGGGGAGAATGGGGAATTTGCTCACCCTGGTATTCTACAGCATCCAACAACAACACATAAGCACAACACAAGTCCAGGCAGAGCAGGGAGCGGGTAATGTTAACAGGACCTGTACAAATGGAAAAGCAAGGGCACCTACTCATATAGATGAAGATTTAGCAGTACAACAGAAACTTGACACTAATACTAGCAGAAAGAATTAAAAGAACATCTAATGCTATCAACACTTTCATCAAAAGCTTTTGACCTGGAGCTTGGATGAAAAGTATTCAAATATAAGAGGGCACGACATGACACCGCAGCAAGAGGAATGGCAGCAAGCAGAAACTACAAAAGATGTGATTAACATAACAGGAAATGGAATCACACGGGATTTTAAAGTGAACGTTATGCTGAAACAAGGCCACAGAAGATCACGAACCCTGTAGTGAGTGAGCACAAGACTTAAGCGAGGTAAGGATCTGCTATGGAAGGAAGAGAATAGGCAAGGGACCAGCGGTTTTGTAGAAGTTGTCTTATGGGCTACAGGGTCCAAGAAGGCAAAAAGGAAAAGATTTAAAAAAAAAAAGGAAGAATCCGTTTAAGCCAAACTTTCCTCTCTTCGGAGGAAAACAACCCATGGAAAAAAGTGAAGGAACACGAGTATCACACCTTTTAGAGATTCCTTAATAACAAGGACTGCTAATGGAGACTGCTAATGATTTCACTACTAAATAGACTGCCATCCCCCTGGAAAAAGGACGAAATGAGTAAAATTTCATAGAGACGAAGGTAGAGACGAGGCCACAGGCTGCAATTCAAGGTGCCCAGTCTTCACAGATTCTGCACAGCTAGACCTGCCAGCCTCCCCGAGCTCCAACTGAACTGGTGCAAGAGAGCACACACTGCAAGTGCAAGGAGTAAAGCTGAGCATGTGCCAGAGAACAAAACCCTTCCTCAGGAACCTCCACCAGGTGTCCAGAAATCTGCCTACACCACACTGCAGAACTGGGGCCTATGTCTTTATTTGAATGTAAAATAATTTTACTTTAATGAGCATGTATTTTAAAAATCTATTAGTTTCCTTCCCAGAGCACTTCAGAGAACACAATCAATAATTCCTAAAATATTCACAACTAAAAGACAATCAAGAAGATATTGCAAGTGTATTGATTTATGCAAAACACCCTTTCAAACCATTTGGTTATCGATGGCATGTGGTTCCTTAAAAAAATATGCACGTGAAAAATTGTTTTGGATTAAATGTTTGAACAGTGTCTCTATTTTTACATTTGCAAATCCAGAGGAAGTAAATTTATGGAAGCAGCGGTTTCCATTTGATCAACCTGAAGGTCAAAGAATAGATGGATTGGATCTGTTATTAAAACAAGCTATAAACATTGTAAATGTTTCCTTGACAATGTCATAGAATTTTTCCTCTGAGCAGGAAGTATCCCAGCTATGCCAACACAAATGTTGGGTTCCATGGCCAGGAAATAACTGTCCAGAAAAATTAGTAGGACAGTATGCATCCATTTAGAAGAGTCTTTGAAATGGAATTCCTTACTACTGTTAATACACACAATCTTAAAGAGACAAGACTCGATTAAGGTCAAGAAGGTACATATGAATAACAAATGGGGTTTTCCCACTTTTAAAAATGGCCTAGAATTGCGGGGGAATCTAACTTCTGATCTGTACTTTAAAAAAATATTACAAAATAAGGAACTGCAGCTTCATGGGATGTGGGTAACATTGCCTTCCATACACTTTTCTGCTTACAATTGACTGCAAAATAAAAGCAGCAGAGCTTCAGGAAGAGAAAAATTTCATGCCAACAAAAGAACTTCCTATGGGTTTAATTCAGAGCTTATTGAAGTTAGAGGGCAGCTGTTTCGGTTATTCTAATGGGCTTTGGTTCATGCTGTAAGAAAGCAGACTAATCTGAGAGCTCCCCATTCGATTTATACAGGGTGTTGTAGGCCACAAACACATTAGACTGGTCAAACTTTGTGCTAGATTTTAAAAAAAGACCAGGAAGTTGTCAGAGGGTCACACGAGCCAAAGGAAAGTGAATGGCATAGATCGTAAGATCATACATCAATTTTTCTCCAGAAAGCTTAAAATATACACTCTGAAGAAAGTGATTTTTGCATCTCCAAATGTTTTATAAAACTATAAAAGACTTAGCTACTAAGGGAAGAGCAGTTCTGAAACCAACTGGCTGTCTAATCTACAGCACACGGCCAAAATGGGGACAGGTATACAGCCAGGGAGTGGCGTGAGCCTGGAGCTGGAATGTGCCCCCTGCTGAAGCCAGTGTCGCTCCAGCGGGTGCACAGAGGATCACGGACCCCACGATCACCCCCTGCCCCCAGGAGCATCCCAACCACAGCCTTGACCCCATCTGTCTTTCACTAATTTCTACCCAGCTCTGCAACCCAGAAAGCTGCAGTGTCTGCCCTTAACTGCTGCTCTCAGCTCTCCCTTCCTTTAGCAGGGATGAGTGAGGTTATTTCCTCAGCTCCTATACATCCCAAAGGATTTCACCCTTAATTAGTCCTGAGCAAATACAGCACAATATGCAACCAAGTACGCCTTCACAAATATTTCGCAAAGTGAATTCCTTCGTGAAGATTTCAGCCTGTTACTATCTTTCAGCAGGCTGCAAGCCAAAATCATTTCACCCGCTCAAAAAGGAACATGGTTTTCAAATGTGCTTTGAAATTTCACATACTTTAATACATATAGAAAGTACTTCTAGCACTTGCAGAATATTTTAATTGGCTTCTTAGCAGGACAGATGATTTTACTAATTCAGAAAAAAAGTTGTGCTTTTAAAGTTGCATTTCCAGTCTCTAGAACAAGGTTAATGTAAAAAGCTTTTTCTAATGCTAAGGTTCAAGGTACTTCAGGTGGCATTAATGAGATCTGTTTAAATTATAATTATGCTACCCATACTTTTCTTCACGCTGCTTCAAGAAACCTAGCAATAAAGACAGCAGCATTCATGCTGGGAATATTTTTGATATGAAACAAGGTGAAAGGAGGACAAGCATTTGATAAATTTCCGTAAGACAGAATCTACTTTATGCAGAAGTCTAACTGTCAGATACGCAGGAATCTGCAATCATCACAAGAGCAGCTGGAAGGTTAAGTTACTACAGCTCTGTATATGCCCATTTGCCTCTTCTACTTCATTAAAAAGTTGGATGTCTACTCACCAGTTTCCTGGGGGAAAGGTACTCATCCATAAGTAGCTCTCCGTCATCTTTAATCAGCAGACTGGGATTTAGGTTGCCTCGCCAACTCAAATCAGTCACCCGCACTGCAGCTGAGGCTGGATGAGACACTCTGCCAGGATTCCACTTCAGGTCCATCTCAATATGCTTTGAACAAAAGGATAACAAGTGGTTTGATTTTTTCCCTGTATTTATTATTTTCTCTTCAGCAAAATCTATTTTGACTCCCATTGCAAGTCGGCATGTGCCTGTGAAGGTACGGGTTTCTTTAATCAGAAAGAACGCAAAGCAATGCACCACATAACAGAAATTGTTCCTTTTCTTCACCCACAAGAGCTATCCTAGTTCCACATCTCATTGAGCTTCAAGTGTCGTCTTTTACAGCAAACTATTGTTTGCGGTTATACAAAAAGCCAGGCACGTCTATGGCTCCGTACAAAGAAGGCAGTCAAGAACAAACAACTCAGAGGACACCAGTCCCTTCCAGTCTTCTCACTACTTCACCCTTCTCCAGTGGCAATGGACTTCCCACCCACATGGGCCTCCTACCGACTCATCCCCTCTCAAGAAACGCAAACATCACTTGGCGAAACACTCCGCCAGGCTCCAGGTGCCAGCACCACACCACGCCATCACTGCTCTCCAGCGTTTTGAGCCCTGCCTGTAGGGAGCACAGACAGCACCAGTCTGGAGTTGCTGCCCGAGCTCAAATGCACCTGCACTGCCACTGACTGCCCTCTGGGTCAGGCAGGCCATGTCTACTGACTCCTAGTTCTGAAGAGAGTCTTGGAGAAAATAAAATTAAAATACAATTTAAACAAAACTGTGTGTGTTTCAAGCAAGGAATGAAATCCCAAGTTGGAAGCTGAAGCACTTCAAAAGTGTTAACTGTTCAGTTCCTAATTTGAAATACAAGAATAAGCATACGTACAGCCTTCAGAGTCAAAAAGCAACCGGCTGTACCCGAATGGTACAAGCATTACTATGATTTATACAGCTATTTACTACTACTTGGCAGCAAGGAAGTATCACAGCTGGAAACATTGCTGTGACAACAAAAGGCTAGACTAGAGAAAAGCCTTCTCGCTCTGCTGAAGGGACACCTGCAGTTTTCCTCTGTTCTCCACTGTGAAGCAATACTTATTCTTAGTGCTGGAAACGTAATTAAATAATCAGCCTAATCATAACAGGCTGACAAGGCTTCACTGGTGGCTGAGAGCTGAGAATTACCATCTTCCTTCCCCCTCATACTAATAAACAGGTAAACACAGGAGTGATTTCTGTTACACAAAGCAGAAGAAATTCTGACTGTTCCGCTAGTCATCTCTACTTGAGAGGGCTGACCGGTTAGTAGGCGAGAGGGGTTTACACCAAAGAGACTTTCTGCTCTGACTACTCACATCCAGTCGAAAGACTTCACCTCTGCACTAGCAAAAGAAATTCAAAAGACTCAGTACTGTCAGAAAAAAATAGCAGCCCTTATCCGAAAAAGAACAATCCACCAAACCTCTCCCTGTAGGATCTTCTGGCATTAGGAAGAGAGCAACCAAACCCTCACACTCCTAAGTGCTCCTTCCATATGCTCATCAGGGGAGAAGCAACCCACAGAAAGCAAAACCTGTTTTTCCCAAATCACTGCATGTACCTAGCAAGCATTCCTAGAGAAGTTGACTTCTCAGATGTGCTACGCCTGAGCCACGGCAGTGTTCAACACTTAAAAAACACATTCAAGAAGAAATTCTTCAGAGAAACATGAATCCTTTCAATCTCTCTTAATGGCTTATAAAAGAAACACCATAAAGTGAATTGAGCAGTGACATTTGCTTCTAAAAAGCTTCTGAAAGCTTCTAAAACCTCAGTGTGCCCACAGTAGTATAAGGACAACTTTCGTACTTCTGCCCGTTAAGAGGGAAAAGTGAGGTCAAAACCACTATGTGTCTTAGTTTTTGGAAAAAACCTAAATCCCATAAATTAGTTTTTGGAAAAAAAACTAAACCCCATAAATTTCTATTATCTATTTCTTTTTCCAAAGAATTCTAGAATTTCTCGGACCTTTTTCCTCTACTTTCTCTAGAGTAGGTCAGTATGATTTAGTCAGTACACTGCGTTGCAACAGTCATCAGTTGTCCAAGGAAATTCAAAAATCTTATATGATATGAAGGTCTTCTGGTGTTGTCTCTGCCTTCCTAAGAAAGAATTAGTTTGGTCAATAACTGACCTGGATCAGAATATCTGCCATATAAATGCTGGAATACTTTGACAGTTGCACAAGACTCGTGTTGGATCATGTGGAAGTACTGGCGGTTCTTTCCAATTCGAGCAAGGATTGTTATTACCCACAGATAATCCCATATGTTATCGGAGCGGAGTGGAGCAACAGTCAGAAACCACTGATGTCACGCGTGAGTGCACAACAAAATGAGATAATAGCAGGATTGTGTAGTTTTGGGCTGTAAAGAGTTATTACACTTGCGTAAAACAAATTATTGTTCTCCTTTCTTCAGTCCATCATTGTTACATTTCAGAACATACTCCAATCTTTGAAATACATGTTGATACAGCACTTACTTAAGGTTTGACAGGGAGATCAATTTGTGGCTTAAGATCTGAAATAACACTTCCAGACTTCCAGTTCTATACTTCCTGTTATTGATCAGCTGCTTGTAGTTATTGTAACATTGGATTAGCAAGGAGGAAAGTATTTTCATCACAAATTGTCTGGGATCAAATTGAGTTATTGTCAGCAAACAAAACTAATTTTTTGACATGCTTCCATCACTTCAAAACTTTCTCCAGAGAAGAAAGAATCTTCTGAACATGGATCAAATTAACAGCCTCAAAAAGAGGAATGCAGAAAAGCTGAGAGCGCAGGAATCCTAGTGGTGAGGTACCAATCTTTCACAAAAATCCATAAACTTCTGAAATCTCCAGCACTGTGCAGGAGTGAGAAGGGGGCCTGACACAACACTTGTTCCCGTATAGACACAGGGGTCAGATTGCTCATTTTCTGCACGTCCACCTGACTTTCTGAGACAGGTGAAATCACTCCAGTAAAGCCACCTCACCTCATACAAAATACTAAAAAGCAAACGAGAAGTCTATGGTTCTGCCAAACGCAGAGGACAAGTAACCACTGACCCAGTGTTAGCCTCAGTGGGACAGTTTACAGGGACTGGGAAGCCTTCATTGTCATTAAAGAGGTCTGAGAAGTCATGAACCTGAAGGTTCACTCCACAGAGAAGACGGCTGCATTGGATATATGCTGGATCTATACGCTGAATGGTAATGCAGATCATTCCTGCGAGACTTTGTGGGACTAACAAGGATGGAAGGGAACTGCACCTAGCACAGACCTTCAATGAACTCAGTGGAAGAGCAAAGCAATACCAGTAAGTAGATGATTTTGAGAAAACGGCTGGAAAAAATGGGGTTTTGTCCTGCATGTGAACACTGAGAAGCATAAAAGAACGAAAGCAAGCAATGAATGAGTTTTCACAGGATTTGCATCATAGGTCTCCACTTGGCAGCCTCTTACATGTGTGGACACCTAGAAGCACAAAATCAGTGAGTACAGGAGAAATCAATGACCAGAGCAGTGAGATGGAAGATCTGGAATTCAATGAACAGTTAATCTGCCACCGTTCCCCACTGCTGCCATTCTCCTTCCCAAAGCGAGCGTGATGACAGTAAGCTATTCAATTCACAGACATGTTGTGAAAGGTCGTTAAAAGCTGCACGACATTTTCAACATATATAGAGTAATACAGCTAATAAAGATCATTATTAAAAATAAATGATCCCTGGAACAACATGTTATTTGAAATCCCTGCAGAATACTGTAATTTGCTAGGAAGAAATTGGCAGAGAATAGTTATTTGATGTCTTAGGGTCCGACAAACTGGTAAAACTCCAAGATTGTATTTTCCTACTACAAGATTTATGGAAGAGTCAATGATAGGATCGTGTATTCTTCATTAAATATATATTAATACTCATTTCAAATACAGCAATTGCCAGAAATGTTTGACTCCATATTAATTATGGCTTCTTATGCCTGGGAAAGAACCTCTGAAGTGTGGAGCTAGGCATGACCATTTCTAACACAACCTTCAAGACACTACCTAAAGAGCTTGTCCCAACCAACAATTAGGTTACCTCTTAAAAACAAAAAACCCTCAAACAACAGTAATCAATCCAGATTTACTCTAGGAAAGACATATACCTCTCTATATTAACATCTCATACAAAAATGAATCTCTACTCCCTTAGGCCAGCTTCTCAACTAGCACCGTCTCCCGCTTTGTGGCTACCCATGCCCCCAAAAAGCTCCACTAGAGAAGGAAGAAAACCCATTTAGGGTTGGGTACTGCAATCTGTATGCCCTTATCTTTATGGCACCAGCTGGAAAATTCTCTAGAAAAAAACACTGGAGAGCCATTCTGCTGCCTACCCCTTCAAGCCAGGAGGTTTGCCCTGCAGACTTCCATGTCTCCTGCACTGCACAATGTCATTTTTATTTGTTTAATCCAGAATCACAAACGCCAGCAGTGCCCGTACTGTTACCACTGCCACAGAATGAAAACAAAAAATTCTGTGTTTACTAAGGATTTGACAAAAGGTTTGCTTTATAGGTCCCAAAGGAACCATGAGTGCCCTTTTAAGTGTAATTTTGTACAAGTGCACTACAGATAACCTCTTCTGGAAAATAACTGTTTGGGCAGCTGGAATTTACTATGATGTCATCAGGAAACTACTGTTAGAATAATCCACTCCTAATGGCAAAACCAGTTCCTGCTACATTTATGCAATATAAAGCATTCTGCAACACATCAGTCTATTTTAGCAGGTGCAGCTACTAAAAAGTTGAAAAATAAAACATCTGATCCGGTATTAATGGGAATCTTTCTTTTCTGCATATGACTAAATGATGTTTTTTAATCTTCTGGTTTTGTTAAGCAAAGGAGGTAATGACTACTTCAGTAACGCTACTTTAATATCAAGGGATCACGTAAACACTATAAAGAACATTCATAAATATTCCACTTGTGTGCTCCACTAAAGAAGAAAAGCTTTTATGAGAATGCTGAAATATCAAGATATCAATAATATCCCATTTAACATAATTAAAAAGTCACTGA